CATGGCGCGTTATCCTGCTGGAAGTAGCCATCAGAAGATGGGTAAACTGTGGTCATAAAGGGATGGACATGGTCAGCAACAACACTCAGATGGGCTGTGGCGTTGACATGTTGATCAGTTGGTACTAATGGGCCCAAAGTGAGCCTAGAAAATATCCCCCACACCACTACACCACCACCAACCAGAACCGTTGAAACACGGCAGGATGGATCCAAGCTTTCATTTTGTTGATGCCAAATTATAATCCTGCCATCCGAATTTTGCAGCAGAAATTGACTCATCAGACCAGGCAAAGTTTTTCCAATCTTCTATTGACCAATTAATGAGCAAATTATAGCTTTACTTTCCTGTACGTAGCTGACGGGAGTAGCACCTGTTGTGGTCTTCTGCCTCAAGGTTCGACATGTTGTGTGTTCAGAGATGCTCTTCTGCGTAACTCGATTGTAACGATTGATTATTTGAGTTACTCGAACCAGTCTGGCCATTCTCCTTTGACCTCTGGCATCAACAAGGCATTTGCACCCGCAGAACTCTGCTCACTGGATATTTTCTCTTTTTCAGCCAATTCTCTGCAAACCCTAGAGATGGTTGTGTGTGAAAATCCCAGTAGATCAGCAGTTTCTGAAATACTCAGACCAGCCTGTCAGAACCTGGCCTGGTTGTTGGTGTCAAAGTCATTTCAATCACCTTTTGTCCCCGTTCTTGATGCTTGATTTGAACTGCAGCAAATCGACTTGGCCATGTCTACCTGTCTAAATGCATTGAGCTGCTGCCATGTGATTGGCTGATTCCATATTTGCATTCATAAGCAGGAGGTGTACCTAATAAAGTGACCGGTGAAAGATAGCCACACGTTTGCATGGGTGTCTTTGTGGGGACTTTCCATTGTCTTCCATTGATATTCATTTCTACAGCCTAAACCTTATCCTAACCCAAACCAAAACTGAATTCACATCTTAGTCCTAAATCTGACCCCTGACCCAAAAACAGCGTTTCCCTTTGTGGGGGCCAGGCTTCGGTCCCCATAAGGAACAGTGGGTCCCCACAACGTAGTGTCAGAAAAATGGTTTCCACAAGGTATTACAAACACACACACAAATTACTGGGATGCTGAAATTATAACCGCACTCCTCTGCTCTTCCTGCTGAAGAAATTATCTGAAAAATCTAAACTGGCCAAGACCCCTGACAAATATTTCGAGATGCCCTTTTGTGAAACCAAGGATTTTAATAAGATTTGAAAAAACTAAGTAAGCATACTTTTAGGAGAAAGAATTTGAAGGATGTTTTGGTTTTCAGTCTCACCTTAAAGGAGCTGATCTTGTTCCCGGACAGATTGAGAATCTCAAGGTTGACGTTGGGATCAAGGTCGTGGCCTAGAAGAGAGAAATGAAACAAATATTCAATTATTTTATTTCTCTAAAAGCTCCATCAAAGGTTACAAAGAGGGAGGATGCAGCAGGCCCACCAATCTTTTCTATGGAGTTATCAGAAAGGTTTAGTTCCTTCAAATTCGTCAACGTCTTCAGGCCCTTTGGGGATAAATTACAAAGCAGTCAAACAAAACGGTAAATAAAATTCAGGCAGACAGTAAACATAATTCATCGTTCCAACCTGAATCTTCGTGATGCAGTTATTATTGAGCCACAGAATCGTCACGTTGACTTGCAGTTCTAAATTCTTTATTTCTTGGATTTGATTGTCATACAGGTAGAGTCTTTCCAGCTGGTTACACTTCTGCAGGCCGGATATTTCCTGCAGTAAAGACAAGTTATTATCACTCCATGCTGGTAACATGGTCTGATCTTAAATTAGCTTAAATTGATTAAGCTATTAAAAAACAAGCAATTTATCACAATATATATATTAATTAGCTCTGCAACAGATTGTTAGAGCAATACTAATGTAAGAGTCCTGGGTGTCCAGATACTGTCAAAATAATACGAGAATAAAGTTGTAAAAATATTACAATAAAGTCACTGTATTATGAGAATAAAGTTTAAATAATACATGAAAAAAGTTATAACATTATGAGAATAAAAGAGAGTTGTATAAAAATAAAGACAAAATAATGGAGAATAAATCCCAATATTTCAAGATAAAATGTAGTTTGTAATATGACTTTATTCTCAAATTAATCTGACTTAATCTAATAATTTTATTACTTTATTCTAGTAATTAATTTTTAATTAATAATAAAATTAATATGCTATCTTAATATGGCGTAATAATTATGAAATTAGGTCTCATGATCCAAAATGATGAAACTTTATTTGGGTTTAGCTGCATTTTTTATATTTGTCCACCAGATGGCGTCACTTCCTTCAAACGAAACATGCAGCAACGCGTCACACTACTTGTTACAGAAATACAAGTGTGTTTTGTTATTGATATTGGTGGTGTGTGTGTGTGTGTGTGTGTGTGTGTGTGTGTGTGTGTGTGTGTGTGTGTGTGTGTGTGTGTGTGTGTGTGTGTGTGTGTGTGTGTGTACAGCTTACAGTGATACAGCACTGAACAATCCAGAGCTCCTGGAGCACCGGACACAACTCCAGTCCTTCTATTTGTTTTATGCTCTGGCCCACGATGGTGAGCCGGCAGAGATTTGGAAAGCTGGAAAGCCCGATGATCCGGGGGAAACCAGAGAAGAAGATCTCCAGAGACCTGATGCTGCCCCCTTCAGTCGCTATTTTTTCATAGGACAGCCCATTCATCAGGCACTGCCCAGAGAAAACAAACAGATTTACCTCAGCTTTCTTCTTTCACAGTGGAACGGCTATACAACTGCATACAACTGCAATTTAGAGCTGAAACGATTAATCAGATTAATCGATTGCTGGAAAACACTGTAATTTAGGAATCGATTAATTGTTAACTGGACGACAACATTTCTGAAACATCCCAGCAGTAATGAAGCCAAAACTGTACAAAATAATATACATTTTCCAAAATAAAAATAAAAAAACGCAGTTATCTGTAAATATGTTCTACCTATTGCTATCCACTTATTAATAAGACAATTAAAAAATATCAACAAATTAGCCCAACATTGTACTTTTTCACCTGTCAAAGCTGTAGATGCGTCCTTTGCTACAAATAATCAAGTGTTCACCAAAGGAATGCTGTGTTGTTGCAGTTTAGGCAATAAAATGTTTATTAAATTCAGAATTTTTTGAGAAAAAAAGAAATTTTAGAAATTTTCAAGCCAATCTCAGAAATCCTGCAGAATTTATTTTTAATTTTCAAGTTTGAAAATTAAAATTTGCTCCCAAAAAACCCCCAAAACTAATATTTTCAGATTAATTTCAGGTATTTTGAGGGGGAAACTAGGAAATTTTTCGGTTTCAAAAGTTACAATTTAATTCAGAAATCATATGAAAAAAACCCCAGGAAACTTCTGGATATTAAAAGTTTTAAAAAATACCAGAAATTTTTAGATTAATTTCAGGTATTTTTAAGAAAGTTGATTTTTGTTACGAAATCATTCTGTTCAGGCTCGTATAGATGTTTTCTTACTTACCAGTTTCCGAAGCGCCGCCTCCTCCTCAGAGCATTGCTTCTGTTTATCCTTGAGCAACATAACTCTACAAAAGCACAGAACACATCATGAAGTAATGAAAGTCCCACAGAGGAAAACAAAGGATGAACCAACAAGTTGATGTTAACTCCACAGGCTAAACCTCCAGCAAACACTAATTTTCTCAGCCTTAATTTATGCGCGTCATTTAAGCGAGAGAAGCGCTGGTATAAATAATACACACATGTCAGTCTTTGTGGAATAAAATCCGCCCGGTTGTCCATTGAAGGGACTCTCCGCAGCTCGTATCCAGGCACAGCGCGTCTGGTTGCTATGGGGGACGGCTGAACCTCCTCTGAGCCGCCAGGTGAGGGCGCCAGACTGCAAGATATTTCTCATGTAAAAAAGGAACTGTGAATTATGGCAAGCGATGAGAGTATTTAATCAAATCAAACTAAAATACTTTTGAATTCTTTGTTAAAATATAACTCGTACAATTTAAAATACGTATTTCAGATTTACTAAAGGTGATATTTTATAAGAAACGTTAAGTTGATGTTTCAAAATTTCTGGAATAGTAGTTGTATTAACACAATTCAGATTTAAACAAGAGAACGCTAAAATACAACAAATTATAAATCATTATTCACATAATGTGAATAATGATCACACATAATGTGAATAATTATGTTATTCACATTTATGTGTTTCTTGTGAAACCGAGAGACTAAATAAAGTACTTCAACTATAAAACTAAATAGTGTAAATAAAACATTAACATTCTTATAGGGTCTGGCAATAATTAAAATACTAAAAAAAAAAAAAAAAAAAAAAAACATTAACGTGAAACTAATATGAAAGGCATTTGGATACAATTAAAACTGCAGAGAACAAAATATGGACCAAAATATAAAGTTAAGTGGAAATTTTGTTATTTAACAGAACAAAATGACAACAATTCATAAAAAAATAACAAAAACAGGTAAAATATTTTTTACAAATATGTTTCTTTCAATAAAAAACTTATGTACCTAAAAAAAGGTGTATAACTTAAACAAAAACTACAGGTGTGTGTCTGTGTCTGGTGAATCTTTGGTTAAAATGAGTTTGTTTTTTATTCAGCAGGTAGAAAATTCTGAAATTTTACTCAAGTAAGAGTAGAAATACTTCCATCATAAAATAACGGAAGTGAAAGTAAAATATTTCTAAAAGTACATTTTCAAAAAAATGACTCAAGTAAATGTAAATAGTGACTACTCAACTTTATACTCATTATGTGATAAATCAACTTGACATACAGATGCTTAAAATGCCAAGCACAGTGCTCTCCCGTCTTTCAGTGTATTTAGGTTATTAACTATTATTATTTATCATGATTCCAACTGGCTTTCATATTTCCGGATTAAGTGCAGATTATTTCTGCAGCCGGTGTGTTCACTGACTCTGTTTACTGTGAAACGCCTTTGGTGTTTTTATCCCACATGGAGCCAAAGCCTGAGTCCGGCATGACGTCAGCGACGGATCAGTGAACTAAAACAATCAGCCTCACTGCCCTGTTCCCAAACCGACCGCTCCAGAGACCCGGGCTCAGCGGACCCGAGTCCAGCAGCTGCGTTGTTGTCATCGACCCCCCGCTCTCCATTCTTCCATCCATCCCTCCTTCCTCCTGCTCCTCCTCTTCCTCCTCCGCAGCTCGGATTGTCGGCGCGACCATCCGGCACCGACACATCCAGGACCGACAGGAGCGGGAACGGCACCGTCTGTCCGACCAGAGGAACCAGCATGTCAGCTGCTGAGCCCGGCGAGGAGCTCGGCTCGGACGGGAGGTGGTTCGGGGACGACCGCGAGCCGAGCGGCCTGTTCGGAAACGCGGCGGCCAGGTTCGGGGAGCCGAGAGGCGGCGTCGACGCGACGGCCGACCTGGATCACCAACAATTTCATCTCTTCCAGGAGGACAAGAAAAGGCCTCTCGTTGCTATGGAAACTGCATCTACAGGTAAAACTTGTTGTGATGGCATCGGATATAAATATTCAGGGGGGTTGATTTTGGGGGCCAAAAATAAAAACAAAACGCGTCACTCTTCCTGTAAACACAGTTGGTCGGATCACCAACAGGCGGCCTGTAATTTTACTCTGAAGGTTAAAAGGGACCTTAAACTTTAAACCTTAAAACAAACTAACTAAATTAAAACACTTTTAAGACAAGAAACCAATGGCAACCAAATTCAGACAAGCCCACCAACAATATGGTCTCAATTATTGCTCCAATATAAACAAAACATTAACATATGTCCAACAATAATATTGCATGCTGTCTAACTGTATAAGAATTTCATTAGTCTGAGTTTATATCCTAATATAAGCAAAGTTGTGTTTCCTGCAGATTTGTTGTTGTTTGGGAGACTGAACTCAGTTTGAAGTCTCATCCTCTGCTCTGCTCGGGTTGCTATTTTTAATCCTCTGGTAGCTTTTTATTTCGCTTGGTGAGCAGAAGTGGAGCCCTGCACTTTTATTCATGAACCCACTGAAAAATGTATGATTATGCTTTTTAAAATGAAGAGTTTGGGGTGGAGGCGTCATCTTGTCCCCTCTCAGGCCCTTTCTGATGCTGGCCAAAAAACCAATGATTAGTAGATTTTCTCGAAAAACATTACAAAAAGTTGCATTTTATTTATAAAGGGGCAGTATTCATTGACTATGTTACATTCTAATATATATATATATATATATATATATATATATATATATATATATATATATATATATATATATAAAGCATATCTTAAAAGAAAAATTTCTTCGCAATTTAAGACTTTGAAATTGTGTCTGTCTCTTTAAATCATCTTTTTCTTTTTTTTTATAGTTTTAACCGCCTTCTCGTTTGGCTAAATTTGTCAGAATATGTTGACGATCGGCCCTGGGATGAAATAGCGCGATTACGCCGACACTTAAGCAGCTTGTCGAGTGTTTACATTTCCAAACAGAACAGCGTACAGCGCATTTTCAACCCCACAACCACAACGGACCGTTTCTCTTTCCTGTTCTGCCCGCCATCTTTGTTTCTACATCAACGGCTCCGTTTCAGGGTCGCCCCCTGATGGATGGCGGCCAAACTACAATAATACAATATAACAATAAAATAATTCTAATCAATTAGAAAATATATAATTCTTTGATCCAATATACCATTAATCAAACAATTACAAGTTGATTAATTGTCTCCATCCTTATAACTCTTTTTTATGATGAGCTCAGGTTTGTCAGGGAAATTTAATGTATTTTTTTTATTTGTAATTTTGTTTAAAGAGAATTTTAAAAAATGAATCCACAGTGAAGTATCTACTGAGCTTTAATCTTCTGAAAACTCAACAGAGTGGGTGCTCCTCTCTCCCAGACAGGCTGTGTAGGTGAGCACAGACAGACACGGTTTATTTTGGCTCCTAAGAAAAAAAGAATAGTCTGAGGTTGTTTCTTTTCTCTGAATGGTCACAGGGGAATAATCTGCTCCATGTCTTTGTTCTCAGTGAGACAGTTGCATCAGATCCTGCAGGGCAAAGGGGACATGTTCCTCCTAACCAGCTGTAGTTTCCTCTGATCTTTAGAAACACCATATACTTCCAACAGCCTCCCCACACAGAGCATCATTAAAGTATTGTTTCAAAGCCTGGGTATTTTATTATTTATTTTGATGCTAGAAAAGACACTCAGCCTCATCTGTCTGATGCTGCATCTCTGGATAATCGATCAATGCCTGTCCTAAATCCTCTTTGCAGCAGTGATCTACCTCAGATAGTGCTGACTTCATGTGCACTAAATCACGTCGGGGCTGGACCTTCCCTCAGATCCTTATAGTGCAAAAATATTTCAGGAGTAGACAAACTTAATTTGTATGCTCATCTCTCAAATTTTTTCACATTTCCAATCAGACACGTCTTTAACAATTGTATTTACATTTTTTGTCCACCTGTTACTCTTTCTTCCTCTTCTTCTCATTACTGAAGTATTAATAATCATCACTTTTCCTCTCTGTATTGCTGATATTTCAGATTGCTCCTAAATAACCCTGACATAAACTCCTTCAAGGATCCCGAGATGCACTGAAATAATCTAAGCCCAGCATTAAATCCCTATGTAAAGTTTTACCACTCTATTAAATTGAATACTTGCTCATAATTTATTCATGCTTGATGTCAAAAGCTTACCGAGTTCCAGTTTGGTAGAAAAGGATAATTCACTTCCAGGAGGATTATTTGACACATATTGACTTACATCTGTTTGAAACCATCTTTAGAGTTGTAATCGTTGCATTTGCACAATTAAAGGACCGTCTGTGACCATTTCAGCAAAGCAATGCAATAATAGTTCTGCATAAGTGAAAGGTTAACAAAAGCACAAGACGTCACGTTGTTGAGCCAAAGTGCGACGCTCTGGTCTGACGAACACCATCAGTCAAGAGAAATCTCCTGTAATCCAGCGCCTGATCGGTGGATTAAGCCCGAGTCTTTGACGAGGACAGAGCGGCAGGCTGCTGCATGTCTGAGTCCGTTTTCACATCTCTGGGACGGAGGAAGCACTCAGAACTGAAACAGAAACGTGCGTCTGTTGAGAGCTGCTGCTCTGCCCCTCGGGGGAAACCGGGCAGCGGGATCTGTCCGGACGGAAAGTAAAAGCCCAGGCTCCGTTCACACTGCAGCCTCAAGTGGCTCAAATCCGATGTGTTCTGTTCACCTGAGTGCGGCTTGTGTCTGATTTTTCACGACAGTCCGAACAACGCGACCCAGACCACTTGGATTTCCCATCGTTTCAAATGCGACCTGAATCCTAACGGTCGGGTCCTGAACTTCATCGATGCTCGACAAACGTCACTGTCCTGCGTCCTGATGCGCACAATCGTAAAACAACAACAGCAACAAAAACAAAAAACAAAACAACAACCACAACAAGCATGGCGGACGGTAACGAGGATCAAGTTGTTAATGTTCTGGCTCCGGTCGGACTCCAAAATCATAAGACATGCTACACCGTTAGCATCCAAGTTTATTGTCCTAACACTGAGCACGCGCTCTGTGTGACGTTACTGCGCCCTCTACTGCGCATGCAAAAAAAAAAAAAAAAAAAAAACAGAATTGAGAATTAAGGCCTGCAGTGTTAATGTAGACCAAGTGACACTGCAACTGGCGATTATTTTGGTAACCAATTATTCTGATCATTAATCAATTGATCAGATAAAAAAATTGGCGCATTCCGCAACTACACTTAACAATATTACTCAAAAATATATTGCAGTAAAACCATTATATCTTTTCAATAATGCAAATGAAGCTAATTACTGCCCTTAGCTGCACTTCCATGAACTGTAAATTTGCGCAATGACAATTCCCTTATAAAATTTGGGAAAAAATAAAAAGTAAATCCTGTTTTTTAATAAAAACTTTTCACACTGTGATGATTTGTGGTTTTTTGGCTGTATCAAAATTAGTGTCGCAAAACTGCAATGGAAACAGATTTTTGTCATCACAGGTCATGAGATCAACAACAGGACGTTACAACATCAGGAAACGATAAAGACGACAACAGGAAGTAGCACAAGGACCTATTTTTTTAGACTTATCACATTAATAAGGTTATTCATGACTTTAACTGTATTTCTTATGTAATGGAAATCCCACAATCGTAATTCCTTTTTTTTTTTAAATGAATTAGCTGAATAACCACCAAGTTTGTTTTTTTTGCACATTTACAGTGGAGTTGAAAATGCTCTGTGGCGCCCTATCATTTGGAAATTGATCAATTTTTTAAATATATTTGATCTCATGCATTTATCCCACATAACCTGCTTAAAAGCCATTATCTGAAACTTGATGCCATGTTTACGTCCATCTCTTCAGAGCTCTGAGGTCTCTGTAATCCCTGAGCAGACTACTCCCAAACTCCTCCTGGGATTACAGAACAGCAGTAGAAATATCAGACCGTTTCAGCGCAACAGTAAACTCCACCAGCTTCCATCTATCCTATCTAATCTCTGCTGAAATGTAGGTTTAAAGTCGCATTTAATATGCGATTCTGACCCAGAAAACACATCAGCAGACAGTCTTGCTCCTCCCCCTATTCTCTTTGTTCATTCATAAAGCCTCTCCAAGCAAGAAAAACACAATCAATACAGACTAAAGCACATAAATCCAGCTTCAGATTAGCTTTGATTTATTTATTTTTCTCCGTCTGATTCATCTTTACAAAAGCAGGTGGAGAAAAACGTTTGTCCTGCATGACTTTCAGTGGTAACGGTGAATATGGCATCGTAATTGCGTGTCCCTGTTTTGTCGAATCGATGCAGCAGAGCACTTGAATATCTCAGCTGCGTTATCGACCTCTGCTTGAAGTTTTGCTCCTGCGTAAAAAGTCGTCCTTTTGTGCTCCTCGCGTCTTCAGGACCTCACTGGCTGTAAAGTGGAGCAATCAATGCATTAATAACGAGTACAGAACAGAGAAGAGTTTAAGTGGTTTTACTGGGTCTTTTTTTAAAGCAAAATTAAAGTCACATCAATTATTGATGTTTGACTAAAAAAAAAACAATTTGGAGACTTCAGGATGTTCCTGCTGATTCTTACGCATTCATCTTCTGGAGAAAACCCCCATTTCTCCTGATTTTTTCTGCATCAGGTCCCTGTGTTCATCAACTCTGGTATTCGAGAACCAAATCAAAAGTTTTTAAGGTTCATTTTTTATATAAAAACTAGAGTTTGGTATCAGCAAAACTTCCTGGGACTCGAGTGAAGTCGGCCTTTCCCTTCTTCGAATTAAACAAAGTTGTTCTCAAATCTTAGTGCAACAAAAATATTGTCCGTCGATCCTTCCACCCTTGTTCCCATGTTCGACAAAAAGAGCCTAGTATTTGTCCCTGATGTTATAATTAGATGCAAAATAGCCGTAAATAGCTCTGTTTGTACAAAGTTAAACCAGGACAGAAAAGATTAATAATGATTAATCGATTATTGAAATAATCAACTAATTTAATAACTAAATGATTGTTAATTGGAGTAAAAAAAAAAAGACCATATGCTGAAAAAACATAACCGGAGCAGCAATAAAGCAAAAACTGAACAAAATATACATTTTGAATTAAAAAAAACCAAACAAACCTGTCTTTAAATATGTTGCTCCCAAAACTCTTTAAGTGGCAAATTTTTAGCTTCACCCAGTTCGAATTCACTAAAGGAATGCTATGAAACAGCGTTTAAAGCAATAAAATGTTTTTTATCAAAGGAATAAATTGAAATTTGCATTTGGATAATGTTATATAAAAAATATGTAAGTGGTTAAATAAGAAACTTGGAAAATCTATATCCGATTAATCAATTGTTAGAATAATCAAACAATTAATCAATGACTAAAATAATCGTTCATTGCATCCCTAAATTAAAACAACAGTATAAATACTTTACAGTAGCTCTGCTTCCTGTTGCACCGTCCATTCAGAATGTAGAAATATTTCCTTTTTCAACACATTCAACTCTTCTGGAAAAACATTATGATTTACCATCAAACGGCACAGATGGCAGCGAAAGAAGAGCCAGCGAGTGTCTGGATGGATTGTTTTCCACAAGGTCAAACTGTGAAAGAAGACTCCTGAAAGATAACACCACAGCTGAAAGGGTCCCGGACGGAGTGATGCGTTCGCTACCGAGACGCAGAGTCACATATGCTTCTGGGAAAACATGGCCGATAAGAGAAGAAAATGGCTCAGATCTGTTGTTGAACCTGCTCATATCTAACAGTTTGTACGTCAGGCTCTTCATTAAGAATGAAACTATTAATCATGATTAATTGGTTACTGAAATAATCGTCAACTAGTAATATTACGACAATAGTCATTATATTTTGAGAATTAACTTGAGATATAACAATAAAGTCCTAACATTATCAGAATAAAGTCAATACTTTTGAAAAGTCAGATTACAAGAATAGCATTTTACTATTTTAGTAATCCTACTACTTAATTCTCATCATTTCAACTTTATTCTCGTAATTTTATTTTCCCAGTGTCGCTTAGTTCTGAATTGTAACAAGAATCTTTAAAAATCTATAGAATATGCCCACTTTTAAATCCGATTCATTGATTAATCGTGAGGATCATCGATTAGTAAGCTAACAGCTAGCTGCAGCCCAATTCTTCCTGGTACGTCGTTCCTGTTTTGGAGCTTCAGCCCTTCATGCATCGCCTGGGCTGCCTTGTTTTTAGTCAGTTGGCTGATAATTGGGAGCCTTTGCTTTGGCCTTGCACAGCCTGTCGCTCTGCATTACCCTCAGAGCTGCACTGCATGCAGAGGACAACAAAAGGACTTCCCCTCCACCAGGACATATTTATCTAGCCGCCCCGTCCCTTCAGCAGCCGCAGCATCACAACACAATTCCCCAGTTGTCAAGCCCGATTCCATCCGACTGCACTGAAGCATTCATCTCAGCCTTTTGGGAACCTAAATGCCCCCGATATGCAACAAGTTTGTCCAACTGAAGCTTTCATTAGTGACATATCTGCAGGCTTTAAGCTGCTGGAGCGACCTTATGCAACTGCTGGGATGTTTATCGCGCTGCAGCGTGGAAAGGTTTGATGAGAAGTGGGTGGAGGGGCGTTCGCCTGTGGTCAATCGGATTACGAACCGTTCCCAGATGTCACTCGTCTTAGAGCGTGTAGCGGCTCTGAGTGCTTCCTGCTGCATGGCACTTAAATATACAGACAATCAATGATGATGGTGATGCTGCCGCCGGGGCGGTGACTGATGAGAATAAGAGGATCAGAGGTGCGCACGGACATTTTGGGGGCAAGAGCAAAAATGGGCACCTTGTGACGTAGTATTGTAAAATTTGTAGGAGGGCAGAAAAATCATCCAGACTTCTGCATGAATATGATATGAATGTGAAATATGTCAGAAATTATTCTTATAATAATTTCTGACATATAGAGTTAAAATTAATGGGAATAATTACAATTCCAGAAAACTGACAACTAAATTGCTAGGATTGAAATGATTAATTGATAATTTAAATAATTGTCAACTAATTTAGTAATCAATAAGATGCGCCAAAACTTTGTCTTTAATTGTCAGAATAGATTAATCAATTATTTTCTTGCAGCCTTAAAATTATTTACAAATATGTGCTGCATTAGTAATATATATATATATAATTCTATAAATCTGTGCAGCTCTCCACCATGCTATGTACTTAAACCCGGATAAGTGAGAGAAAATGGATGAATGGAAAAACAAAGATTTCAAGATGGCAGTTTTTTTTAGGCCAGAGGAAAATGGGTCGGGCTCTAGCGCCTCCTAGTGGCTATGACTTTAACCAGACATTCAGGGCAAGCAGCTCAGGTTCTGCTGATGGAGATGCTGTAGATATTCTCCCATCAAAGTGTTCCAGCCCGTTTCGGCTCTGTTGAGTCCCGACCCGGGCGTGGCGTGTTTACGCCTCGGTTCTGATGTATTGTTAATGACGGAGGAAGCAGCAGAAGGGAAGCGAAGGGCGGTGGGCTTTTCAGAAAGGAAGCTCACCCAGGGACGGGACGTCCTGAGTCGTTCGGTCTCCTGTCCATCAGTCTGCGTCCTCCACAGCCGGCCCTCCGTTTCACTCTCAGCCCCACCAGAACCCCACGTCCAGCCCAGCAGGAGAACCGGCCTATTTATAGCAGCAGCCGCCGGCCTGAGGAAGCAGGGAGCTCACTGTGTGTTTGACTCGTAAACAGCAAACTGGAATCAGAGTTTCAACTAATTTAAATATTTATGCTGATTTGATTTATTTTTCCACCAAGATCTGAGCTTCGCTTCCTGTCTGCAGTTTAACTGGAAAACAAAACGTTTTACCAGGCATCTTTGGTCTAGTTTCTAGTGCAAATATCTTAGTACCCTTGAAATTAGATAAACTAACTCGAAAGTGGCTTTTCAGCAAGATGTTTTGAGTAAATAAATCCTTAATGCTAATTAGAAAGTGCAAGTTTAATTGGCAGATTATTCCATTTATGGGAAAATGTCTTATTAGTGAAGTTATTTGCAAACTGAGCTAGCATTTTTAAATTCATTTCTTGCTGAAAACTTACGTGAAGTTAGTTGTGAGTCATTTCAAATGTACTGAGATATTTGCACTAGAAACCAAAGAGACTTGGTAACATTTTGTGAACACTGCAGTTTTGTGTTGCAGGTGATGCAACACAAAACTGCTTCCTGTTCCCTTCAGGGGAAACGGTCTGAAACGAAGCAGCGCTCCGGGTCCTTCACTGGCTGTTTTTGTGTTGTGGTTTTCGGGGGTCCAAACAATCCTCATTTGTCTATCACTGGGCACAAGCGGCCGCTGTGTGAGCAAGCCCACAACCAGACACGCAGTGTGACCGAGTCCCAGCCTGTCAGTCAGGCTGCAGCAGCAGCTGAAGCACATCTTTGTTTCACTGAACGGGTTTTTCAGTCCCTGTCTGCTTTGACCTAGAGAACACTGCAAAAACACTAACTAAATCTCACCAACTATTGTTGGTTTAGTTTCTAGTTCAAATGTCTCAGTAGGCAAAACTAACTTAAAAGTAACTTTTCAGCAGGATGAAGGAGCTTGTTTTACGTCAACAATTGCTTAATATTGTCAGATTATTTAAATTATTACTAATCGAAATGTCTTGTAAGTGAAATAATCAGCATGTGGAACTAGAACCTATTTATCAATATGAAAGGTGGACCTGTTATGTAAAATTCATTTTGTTTTTTGCTTCCATTTGTTTCTCTACTTTTGCAAACAGTTCAAGCACTTAAAAAAAAAAGATTGGCTGTTTTTGGCAATAGGTTCATGTTTTTCTGGAAAATAAGCCGTTTCAAAAACCTCTGAAATGCAACATCACAAATCAGCAGGCAATGCCCGTTACCTAGCAACCCTAGCAGAGTCCGTTACCTAGCAACCCTAGCAGAGTCCGTTACCTAGCAACCCTAGCAGAGTCCGTTACCTAGCAACCCTAGCAGAGTCCGTTACCTAGTAACCCAAGCTGAGCTCCAGTGTAGTTACCTCTGTTGACGCTGCTGGAAAAGACAAAGTGTTTTGTTGTTGACTTATCATCCAGAGAACACCTGCTGCATTCTTGTTGGCGTGCAGAAGGCTCCGCTTTTGCTTTTCAAAGATGTATGATTGCGAATCTGCTTGCAGCCATTTATAGGTGCGAGTGTAAACGTTGAGTTAGCAGCAGCTTATTTTGATTTAAAGTGACAGGAGGCCCTAAAACTGCTCAGGATGGGCAGAACTGAGCAGACTAAAATCTTAGAATGATTTTAAGCAAAAAGTTCAGCGAACATGTTTTCTATAGACCACAAACCAATCCAAAGATGTTCAAGAAACCACAATACCTCTTCTCACCTTCACGTTTCTTAACTTTCATATTACTCCCTGAAAAGTTACTGATAAATCAGTTTTGCCTCAGATATTTTCATTAGAGGCTGGACCAAAGATACTTGGTGAGGTTTTGTGGTTTTAAGTTTTCGGATTCTTCTCCTGACTCCCTCTCCCCGTTTCTGCAGGTGATCCCATTTCTGGCCTGTTTAGGAAACCCATGAATGACGACGGCGACGTTTACACCTCGCTGATGTCCAATCAGGCCTCCTACCTGCCGGACGACCTTAAGTCCTCCAACATACTGAGCGACTTCACCGGCGACGCCTATAGCTTCACTTCCAAAACCAAAACCGCTTCCAATTTACCCGACGACACCCTGAAGTCCCTGCTGGGCTCCGACAAGACGGAATCCTACAACTACATGGATATCAGCCACGGGGAGGAGCGCCAAGGCAGCCGGGCCTTCGCTGACCTCGACCCGGTGGGGAGGTACATCGATAACAACCCCGGAGGAGACGAGGAAGACGAGGAGGAGGAGAATCTGGGTCCGGCGCTCGGCTCCCACTCCTTCCCCTACGTGGAGGATCCGTCTGATGAGGAGCTGAACGACTACCGCTCCTACCGGAACCTGGGCGGCACCCCGCAGACGGCCAGCCCGGTGAAGATCACCCTGACCGGGTCGTCCAAAGCCGAGCCGCAGCAGCTGCCCCCGTCGGTCGGCGTGTCGGAGCGCGAAAACGTCCTGAGCGTGGGTCAGCAGGGCGTTCCCACGGTAACCCTGTCTGAGCCAGAGGACGACAGCCCCGCCTCCACGCCCAACGCTTCACCAACAAGTAGGTGCAGAGCAGAACCCGACTTAGCACTGACTAACTTCACTGGACGATATAATATCACGATAAACAATTTATCCTCCATTTTCTAACAATGTAATAACATGGCCTCTCAAATAAACTGAGCCGGGAAAACATCTGAAAATCCAAAACAATATGGATAATGAACAAAACAAAACAAAATTACCTTTCAAAACCATATTACAGGAATGAAAATTCACTTTTTACACATTTTTATAATTGTAAAAGTATAAAAAAAGAGCCAAGCATATCAAAACCAAACTGTTCTCTGGCAATAAGTCAATGTTTTTCGGTGCCTGGAAAAGGAGTTGATGGTTACGTCATAATTGATGGGCTCTCTCCCATTACCTACCAACCCAAGCGGATCTCCAGCACGTTTGGTAAGCTGGTTTTACCACTGTATGTGCTGTACAATGGCTGCTGGAAAAGACAAGTGTTTTCTTGTTACCATCTAGAAACTACTTTCCGCTTTCATGATGGTTGTCCAGGAGGCTCCACTTCTGCTTTTCAATGTCAGCAAAGACGTATGCTCTATAAATTTATAGGCATTTATAGGACTGCCTATAAATGGGCAGTTCTATAACTGCCCATTTGTTTGCAGCCATTTTCACGTGTGAGTGTAAACCTTGAGTTTGGGGGCGGGGCCAGCTGAAGCTCATTTGGACTGAGCATCCTGAAATATAATTAATCTTGTCCAAAAAAGTTACGTTTTGTATCATCATACAAATCTGTTGAGGAAAGCGTGGTAGTTAACCCAAACGGTAGTTAAGAATATGAAAGGACCGATAGCTAGCTACTAATAACCCTTTGGTAGCTAGCTACCTTTTTTACATTTATTATGGGGAAGTTTGAAATTTATCAGCAGTTAACTGGATGTCTTTATTGAGTCACTTCTGCATCCAAACTATATGATTTATGTATTTGCAATTATATTTTTGCATATTTGTGTTGTGAAACAGACTTTAAACTCCATTCAAAAAGGCCTTAAAAGTCTTGAATCTGCCACAGAAATCAAACTTTCTTGGAATATTTAGCAACATTTTAGACAAACACATCGGAATCGGCTTTTTAATAATCAGTAATCTGCAATCGGTGCACTGATTGATAGTTTTCTGCTTCTAATCTGGGCTCTACTATCTGTTTTCTGTTTTCTCTGTGAACAGGGAAACAGTTTTCATCTGAGGACATGTTCAAGGTTGAATCCGGAAAGCCTGCAGCTTCCAGAAACAACGCGGGCCCAAAACCCGGGAGTCGGGATCACGAGGGGAGCAGCGCCGAGTCCGGAGACTCGGAGATCGAGTTGGTCTCCGAAGAGCCTGCGAAGCCGCGCAGCAACCCATTTACTGAGCCTCCGAAGAACAAAGCGACCAGCAACCCCTTCAACAGCAACGCCCCGGTGGCCAAGGCCGGGCCGGGCCTCGCTGCCGGGCCCGGAGCCTACAGCATCCTGAGGGAGGAGCGGGAAGCAGAGCTCGACAGCGACCTCTCCGTCCCCTCTGGTCTCCACCGCCAGCCCTCCCCGCAGTCACCCTGAGGCGGCGCCGGTCCAGCCGCCGGTCCAGCCGCCGGCCGCCGAAAAGGCCAAGAGCCCTGTCAGAGCAGAGGAGGATCCTCCCAGCAAGCCGAAGCCTCCGACCGCCGCTGTGCCTCCGGAGGTGAGATCAGAAAAGCCCCAGCAGGGCGACATGCTGCCCCAGCAGGGAAAAGGAGAGCTGGGAAAAGCTGCTGCTGTCGCCGCTCTGCTGGAGGGATTCAGCAAACAGAAAGGTTGGTGCTCAAATCTGCAGCTCAATTTAAAGGAACACTGCAAAAACACAAAATGTTACCGAGAACATTTGCTCTAGTTTCTACCACAAACTAGGAATGGAGCGGTGCCTCCATTACAACGACAAAACCAACTTACAAGTCACTTTTCAGCAAGACATCGGAGCTTCTTTCAGGTCAATCACTCCTTAATATTGATGAACACGTATAAAAGGCTGTTTTTTCACTTATAACATGACATTTCACAGTGAAATACCAGTGAAACTAAAACGTTTCCTTCAATTTTAAGAAAATACTGACTTAAAAAAACTCCTGTATCTTGCTGAAAAAGTATCTAGAAATTAATCTTGTCTTGTTCACTAGAAACTGGAGTAAAATACTCTGTATTTTTGCAGTGCATGAACTGTGACGTCTGTGAAAAATAAAAATATTTCCTCTTAGTGGGAGGAAACGCTGCTGCTGCCCCCTGGTGGAACATAAGGGGAAAAATAAAATCCTTCTCATTTATTCAATAGTTCTTCATTTATTGCAAGAATTTCTATTGAAATTCCAACTAATACTATTTAAAACAAGTCAAAATTGTTCTTATTGGTTAGTTCATACTATTTTTGTTAGATTAAAGCACCAATAAATACAAATGAGTTTGAAAATACAGTTATAGATCATGTAACCAGTGTCCTAAATAAGGATACTGGTTATTTGTGTTTGCGGGGTTTTAATCTATGTGACAGTCTTACAGTTACCTTAAAAACTAAGAATAAGTAGTCCTTATGTTACAATAAAAACTCAAAATATTGTGATAAAACTTGAAGTCCACCCCTTCTGGGATAATGCTTTTATCTGCATGTTTTACCTTATTATTATTAAAAAGATGAGCAGAAAATGGTGTTTTAATATTGATGTTGGATATTCTGACTCCATAATTATTTGATGCTGAAACTGGGTCAGTTTTCTGCCTCTAATCAAACATAATGTAGGTTTGCATGTAAACATTTATGAATTTTGCATGAATGAACGGCCGTGCAGTCCCGTTTTGTTTCCATCGAACTGACAGAAGGTTCTGGAATCACACACACACAAAAACAGGTCATGTCAATTAACTTCTGCACCACTAGAGGGCGCAGCGCAGCTTTGTTGAAGATCATCAGATATTTATGCTGTTGGTCAGAGCTCTACTCCACCAGCTGCTATAGCAACAGAGAGAGGTTGGAGCATGCTCAGTGTGAGCCGCTGCCTTCGCTCCTGGTTGGTGTTGGCATGGAGGCAAATGAGGCTGCAGAAAGCAGAAGGTGTGAGGTGTGGCAGGCTGCAGGGGAGGACTGGACCTCCACAACCGCATCGATTCACTGAAACGGGTGTTTAAAGCAAACCGGGATGATGCTAATATCTTAGCTACATCCTGTCTTCTGCTTTTCTATTTTAGCGCTCCAACTGCAGAAATGTTCCGTCTTTACCATGAATTATTAAGAGCGGTGCCTCCATTCCAACCAAGACATGATGAAAAAAGAAGGAGGGATTTATAGCAGCTGTAATCTGTACATAAATAAGAGCTGGATGTTTGCCCTGTTGCTGCTCTCTTTATGAAACACGTTTCCCTCCGTCTGCTGAGCCATGTGACAGCAGACTGTCAGGAGGCTTTGTCAGCTTTCAGAGCATGTGGGAAATGTTGACCCACCAATAAAGACACTGCGAATTAGAGCTGGTTAATCAGATTAATCGTGATGAATTGATTATTGAAATAATCATGAACTTAAATAGTAATTAATCGTTAACTCTGGTGTAGACTTAAAAAAGGCCATTTGATGAAAGAACATAATAATACTTCAAAATATATAAACTCCTTATATGTTCAACCTTCAGTGGAAAAGTTTTATTCAATAATTAATCAATTAATCCAAAAAATAATCAACATATTAGCCAAACTATTGAAGTAAACTCGAGCAGAAAGGGCTGAACGTTTCACAGCAGAAATATGTTTTAGCTTTAGATGCATCCTTTGTTACCAATAATCAAACGTACAAAAAAGGAATGCTGTTACTGCAATTAAATATTTATCTTTTTATTTAAAAAGGATTTTAATCATTTGTTTATTGGCATCTTTTAATGCGTTTCCAATTATATATCTATAAGAAAAAGGTGTGTAGAATATGCCTATTTTTTTAATCCAATTAATCGATTAATGTCCAACTATAATAGTTTTAGTTTCAACCCTAAATGATGGATTTACAAATATGTGAAGCACTGGTAAAACAGGCTTTTATTTAAATAAAAAAAAGAAAGAAATTTGCTTATGAGAAAATGCCTTCTTGGTATTGTGTCAACAAGGCTTTAGAGGTTAAATGAAAAATCTGTAGAATAGACCTTTTTATTTTTACCCGATTAATTGCTAACTCAAATAATCGTTAGTTAAATCCCTAAAAATTACTTGGAGCACTGGGAATATTGGCTTTTGCATCTTTAAAAAGGAATTTTGTTAGAATATTTATATTTAATATTTTTTTAAATTGACTTTAGTGTTTTGATTAAAAACCTGAAAATGTGGCAATTTTATAACCAATTAATCGATTAATCGCCAATTAAAATCATTGTTACAGTCCTAAAAATATGTGGGGAATTTGTAATATGGGCTTTAAAATCTTTAAAAAATAATTTTGTTTATAAAATTTTTTGAAGTTAATTCATTTTGAACAAGCAGTTTAATAAAAATTCAGCAAAATGTACCAGTTTTTTTTTTTTATCTGATTAATCGATTAATTGCTTTCTAAAATCATTGGGGTTTCACTATTACCTATGTTGCTAATATAGGCTTTTATAATTCTTTAAAAACTGAAATTTATTTGAAATAATTATTTCTAATAAAAAAGGCAAATGACCAAATGAAAAATCTACAAAATGTGCCCATTTTTATCCAATTAATCGCCAAAAATAATCGTTTGTTGTATCCCTGAAAGTTATGTGCTACTGGTAATATAGGCATTTAAATCTTTATTTGAAATTCTTAGTAAAAACTAAAAGACAAGTGGTTAAATGAAAAATCTCCAAAATGTGCCAGTTTATTTGTATTTTTTGAATCGATTAATCGTCAGAGCAACTGATTCCTAAAACAATTTGTAGTTTCCGCCTCAACATGGAGGCAGGTTTTGGTGTCCCAGTGTCCAAACTGAGGATGACACAGTGTTTTTTTAAACTGAAACATTTCTTTACGAGACAAAAGAGCGTCCACCGCAGCCACCCTCTTCCCCCCGGGCTTTAAATCATTGCATGGATGGTTTGCTGCAGCAGATTCGAAGCTGTGCTGTTTACGACGTGAACCCCCCTCCTCTCCATCCCCTGCTGCTCCTCCCTCCCTCTCCCCCACAAACACACCGACACACACGTACGCGGCGCTCCACAGCATCAGTCTTTGTGCGTCGAGAGTCGGCAGCACCTTGGAAACCTCTCCTCCCTCCCTCCCTCCCGTCCTCAGCCTCTCTCTCTCACCGCATCCTTCCCACCATTCATGCCTCTCCGTGGGATGACCGACTGAGCCGCTCCTGCCGAAGAGGAAAGCGCGAAGAGACAAAGCGACGGAGGGACCAGAAGCATGCAGGCTACTGCAGACATGACGAAGAAGGAGTGCTCGTGGAGCAGCTGGAAGGGCCAGGGTACTGACGTGTTTCTGTTTTTACAGCCGGTTTGCATGTTGCCTCCAGGCGGACAGGCGCTCTGTTTCATGCATGCACGCGTTCGGCTTCTAATACTGAAGTTCTGCTCCTTTATTTTTGCATGGGACACACCCTTAGTTCGTATCCGCACCCAGAGGAAACAAAGGCGGCGGTGGAAAATCGCTCCGTCTGGTTTGGGTGCATGCTGGTACCGATTGTTGACACCCTCCCCGCTGCGCTGCGCGGCTGTTTTCATATGCTCCCATTTTTTTCCTCTTTGCTTTGGGGGGCGAAATGAGTGCCAGACCGTCGGATGGTGCTGATAGACTGTCTCCATGGTAACCAGGCCACACCCATCCCGATTACATCAACCCCGTATCCTAGGCCTCCACGGCGGCCCGCAGAGCGTCCGGCGGGGGAACGTTGCCACCGAACGCAGAGAAAATGGCGGCGCTTGTTGAGCATTCATTGTGCCACATTCTGGCTTCACGCCGTCGAGTCGTTGCAAGAGTTAACGACCCAAAAGACCAAACCTCCGCACGTCAAATAAATGCTGACGGGAGCGAAGAAGAATCGATTTATGTTCTCCCTCTGAATCACAGTCATTTTTAAAGCTGCAGGGTTTTTGTTTAGTCATCCTTCCTGCTGAGCACATGACTGACTCAGCAACACAAACGGGCCGAGTCACACGAATACGGCCAATAACCACAATCCTCATCCATTATGCACAAAAACACTGTTTAAATCCGGCTGCAGCTCACATTAAAACCAATTTCTAACATATTGAGTCACCCAAAAGACAGAAAATAACATTTAAATCCCAATTATGTCAATAAAGTAAGACGCTTCACAGTATTTATTCAAGACACAATCCAACATATGCAACTAATATTCAATCATATGTGTAACATTTAATCATTTATTTATTTTACTGGCATTTTTCTCACTAAGCTGAAAAAAAATAATGTAGTTTTCTAAATATTGCACAAAATATTTGTTTCTCTAGACACTAATTGGCTTGTATGACAGTAATTTAATATAAAATATTAACTAGATGCTTTCACTGTGAACCAATAGAAATGACTCTGCTGCTACTAAAAATAAATTAAATAAATGACATTTAATCATTTTTAAGTTGTATTTCACTTTCATAACGAAGCCAAAGGAAAACTTAACTAAAGCTGTTAATAATAGTATTAATCAAGAATTACTACTTTTTAATGTATTTATTATTTATGTCTTTTTCTTTTAAATAAATTAAACAGGAAAACCCTGGAGATTTTCCTGAAATATTCAGCTGAAAACTTTCTGCTGAATATTTCCTTTGTAGCATCAAAAACATAATGCTAAAGCGGAAAA